CCAGTAAATATCTCAAAAGGAAAACAAGAATTGGTTAAGTAAAGTTCATATAATGACAAGATATATTACTCACAAATGCATTTGAATTATTATTTGTTTAAAGTTGTAAGACACAAGTTGGGCTACTTTAACAAATTATTTTGTTCGAGAACTACTGTTTACTTCAACGAAGTCACAAATACTTTGATTATTAAATACCCTACCCCCCGCCCAAAAAAATCAAGGTCTACTATGTTTAGCTAACAGCAGTTCTATTTTGCGTTTAACTTCTATCTAAAAGGACTCATGCACATTTTAAGCAAATGACTATTCTCACTTCACAGGTAGATGTAAGAGCAACCTAGAGATCAAATAACTTCTGTGAGGTGTACAGAACCTTCTTTACTTTGTAAATTCCATCAGCTTAAAATGAAAAATTCTAATGATGAACGTCTCTAACTTCAGTCTTGCGATCTTGCTTCCTCCTGCCCAGCTGGCCTGAATACTCCTCAAAAGAAACGGAGAACCCTGACAGAGAGGACACCCCGCGCCGGCTGCTGCTCAGCCCTGCCCTCTTACGCTTCCTATCAGATAATCGGGGACTGAGCTGGCCACAGGCACTCCAGGTTTGACCTCCCGAAAGGGATATTCTGTGAGTGTGAGCATTGTGAGTATTTCCGTAACACAGAATGTGTTTAGGAGTCTCAGATAATTTGAGAGCCTCTTACCAGTTAAACTGCTCAAAATAAAAACAATGAAGGAGTGGGCAGCGAGCATTCACACAATTCAGTTAAAGCTTATATACATTAAACCTTCTCTCCTCCCATTTCCCATCGTCAAACGTTTGCTTTCTAAACAAGGCTGTCTTGTCCGAGTCGTTTGTCAGGAGAATCAGCCCACGAGGTGGCAAGGAGGGGAGCGTACCTGGACCCCACGCCGCCGTTCCTGCCGTGGTAGTCACAGGTGCACTGGGAAGGACACACACAGCCCCCTCCTGGCAAACAGCTCAGCACCATGCACAGACAGGCAAAGAGACGCATCGCTCCTTTTAGAGGTTAGCTGAACAAAAGGTAAAAAGCAAATCCGAAGCGTTCAGCAGCGGCGTGCCAGGAGCGCGAGCAGCCATGCAGTCACAGCAGATTACCCGGGATTAGCCGAGATCCGCAGTTACTTAACCTTCAAGTGTATCTTGCAAGGGTCAATCGACCCAGCCTCCGAACACGGTTTTAGCAAAGTAACACGCTCTAAGGAAAATCAAAATCAAACACATGTCAAGACAATTTCAATCGTTACCCATATCTAGATTGGCAAGGAAATGCCTATTAAATCCCTTTCCTGCGGATGTATTTCCAGGACACCCTAAGAAATACTTCGTGTTAAAAATAACTCAGTCACGGCAGGTGTCAGAAAATTCCGTAGATTATTTACGTATCATCACATTATAAATTTTTTGCCTTTGCTTTTTACCAGGATGCACAACATTTGGTTTTTACAAAGTTTAGTTTTAAAAATGGCAGCACATGACATAACATTGATTTAGAATAGAGTTCTATTCTAAATCAACGTTCTATTCTAAATCGATGTTGCCACATACTGGTTATTTCCAAAAGCAAAGCAAACCAAGTTCAGTATGTAGATTTTTTTAGGAAAAATGCTTCAATCCACACTTATGGGGCAGGACTGCAAGTCCAGTGAGAGTGTGTTTTGAGACTGTCTCAGATCATCTCAGTATGTGTAAGGTTTAGGTTTATCCCAGCATCTTTATTTTTAATGCAATTATCTCTGTTCAAAAATATACTTTAGTCCAAGCTAGTTTTCCAAGTTATGGGCATCAAAACCATATGTGAAGATCAACTGTCATTCCGTTAGCAATATTAGGCTCTGTCAGAAAATAAAAATTAAATTAAAACTATCTCCACATACATAGAATGAGAATTCACAGGGACTTAAGGATTTAAGTAATAAACATATGCCATTTAATCTTTTTATTGAGTGGTTCTAGCCATCATCCTTAAACCAAAAAATTTTTTAAAAAAATCAATTCTACAAAAATAAGAATATTATGGGAAATATTATTTAAAACTAGTAGAATTTATATAGAAACAAGAGAATCTGAAAAACTTTGCTCAATTAAAATAAAACATTGCAAGTTTTCAGATTCTGCACAATTCATTTGTTCATCAAATATTGACCGAGTACTTCCTCCGTGCCAAGCACTGAGGGGTACAAAGATGCACAAGACACGGCCACCACACGTAAGGGACTCGCATGATAAAGAGAGGAACAGAGGACTGAAGACACCAAGAGAAGAACATCAAAGCCAGCCTGTGTTGGCGGAGCAGGACTTCCTAGGTGCGTGGTGCCTGAGCTGCCGCTTACAGGACGCATGCTAACGTGTTATGGGAAATCAGGAAAGGGGCCAACAGCAGGGAAAAGGGGAGGGAAGCAAGAAGCAGTACGTTGTCCTCAGAGAATAGCAAGCACGTCTTGTTGCTCAGGCTTAAGATTTTGAGGCAGGAAGTGACAGAGGGGGAAAGATAAAGCTGAGAGGTAAGGGGGTTGAAGCTATAGAGGAAGGGCCTCAGATTACCTATTAAAGAGCTTACCCTCAGCCTGCAGGTAACAGGAGCAACAAAGGTTAGGCCTGGGAGTGGCACCTCAGATTATCATATTAGGTAGAATTCTCCAGCGGCTGTGTGGAGGGAAGGTTTAGATAGAGCATGCGAGAAGGGGAGGAGGCTTTAGATGGACGGCTACGGTTGGAGTCCAGGTGAGCAGACATCAGGCTGCAACCTTGATTGCTGCGCTGGGCATGGTTAGGATGGTGCAGCTTCAGGAATCACCTAGGAGGCAGAAATGCTTGCTTAGATGTAAAGAAGAAGAAAGAAGAAGGAAGAAGGAAGGAGGAAGAGAAGAAGGATAAGATGAAGAAGAAGAAGATGACGAGGAAAGGGAGAGGAAGAAGAAGATGAGGGAAGGAAGAAGAAAGGAGGAAGAGGAGAGATTTAAGCACACCCCTAAGGTTTCCCAGTGCTGAGATGCAGAGGCGGTGGCCCTAGGTGGGTTTTTGAGCACGAGAGAAGGAAGAAATGGGAGGATGGGGATAAATAGAACTTTGATCACCAAATGACCAAAATGGTTTGTGAATTATTCATTTCATGGATGTTATGACCTACATAGGAGCAAGACATGCCAAACTGAGGATAGCAAAGCTGTTTAAAGATCAAACATCAGAAGTTAGTAAACTAAGAGGTTAGAGGCTGCTGTGTAACCAAAGCCAAGTCTTCCTAGTCTTACCACATAAGCAAACTGATTGATTAACGTAGTATTAAAATATAAGTGCTGTGCACTGTTGAAGTCCTTTATACTTGAGGCAAAGTTGCCCCCTGATCATTGCTGGAAACGAGTCCAGGCTTTGCAAATCAGAACTCTGAATCAATTTTCTATACAGTATTACATGAATTGTCTTGGCCGTTCATTGGCTCCGTGACTTTGGGCACAGACCCTCACTGTGCTGTCTCAGCTCCAGAGAACAGGACGAGCAAAGACATAGTGGCACAACACAGTCAGAGTTCTCTGGAAACACTAAACATTTTAATCTGGCCATAGAGACAGACAAAAAGCTGAAAAGTCCCTTTGGGGCCATGCGGGCGGGCGAGGGTCTTGAAAGTCCAGCTGAGGGCTTTGAATATTTGAATCACCTTATTTGGCAGGGGATTGAATATTTGGGGGACTGGAACTTTATTTTTAAAAGATTAGCTACCAAGTGGATGTACTGATTGCAGTGGAAAAGCAGAGGGCGAGGAGATGAGTGAGGAGATGATTACGGCAGCTGACCACTCCACATACTTAGAGAATTTTACATCGAAAACTGACACTCGAATTTTACTTACTATGCAGCCAAAGGTGCCAAAGAGATAGTCTGCAAAAAAAAAAAAAAATGGATATAAGAAAATATCGCATGCAAAGATACACAGCCTCACTAGCAGTTAACAAAATGTGAAATAAAACGAATTTAAGTTATAGTCTATAACTCATAGTTTAACTATATGATGAGGCATAAAGTACACTCTGGCACTGCCAACATCAGCATAAATTAATTCAGTCTTCCCAGAGAGGAAGCTAGCAAGAACAATGCTATTTTTATATTCATATCCAATAATTTTAGCCTGAGAAAAATACTCAAATAGAATAACTTCTCCCAAAGAAAGATATTTGTACTAAAATGTTCCCAGATGCATCCATGAAATCAAAACTTAGAAGCAATTTAAATGTCTACTATTTAAACAGTGGTATATAACGCTATGCTTACTGGTCATTGAAAATGACAAATATGTGGAGTCTACAAAATCATTCAACATTCAACAAATATTTATTGAGCGCCTACTCCCTGCTAGACAGAATGGTTCTAGCTGCTAAGGATACATCAAAAAACAAACATATAAAAATCCCCACTCTGATAGAACTTAATTCTAGGGGCAAATATATGGAAATACATATGCAGAAAAATTAAAATTGCAGAACACATAACAACATGCACAGAGATTATATTGCTATATGAAACACATGTGTGCACTAACGTGATTTAGAAGCAATGGTATTTAATGTTCATTCTATTATTTCTGTTAAATAACATAAGTTAATGATTGATTAAAATTTTAACATTTTGAAATGCTAAAAATGTTTTCTATGCTATAATAGCTGGAAACATGCAATAACTCACTTCAGTAATTATTTATTATTCATCATTATTATTATTAATTTAGTCTAACAAAATAGTGGCTGCTTCTAGTCTAATGGGAGACCCAAGCAAGTTACAGGTCATCAATGTAGTGTAATGCATGCCATGATAGGGAGAAAGAAAAAAGACTTTAATCTCATGTGCCTAGATTCATCAGAGGAGATGAGCAATAGTTCACATATAAAGAAATGGAGAAACATGAACTACAGCAGCCAATGCGCAAATAGAACCATAAGCTGCGAAACTCACAGTCTAATAGGACCATAATCTATGCCTGCATTTGGTCTAAATGGACTCATATTTAAAATAAAATTAAAGCATTGCAAAAACAAAACAAATAAAATGTTTTGGTAGGGTGTGCTTTTTTCTTATTTCAGGTTCTTCCAGAAGCCAATGGGTGTTGAGATACATCCATTGGTAAAACACTTGTCACGGGCATTGCTTGGTGAGTCTGACATTTGAACATGGCAAACATTGCCCTCCGAAACCTACAATAAAAAAGAGAAAACCTGGCATTATCCTGTAATAAATGGGAACTTTTAAAGCATTTTCGAAGAGGGCTATGGTGCCGCTACTGCCAATTGACATCTCCAGATAAACATCCGCCTCCAACTTTAACACCTCCTGTTGAGAACCTTTATAAATGTAAAGGTATGTGGTACAGTTAAAGACCTATTCTGCACCATTGATTATAAACATTGAAGACATTTAATAAAAGCCAATAATTATGTGTGTTTAAAATGACACTGCTAACGTCAAGTGCAATGAGTTATTTATTTGCACTAACAATGTGTGTTTCGTGCATCTGTTTTTCCAAGCAAAGGCCAGCTGAAATTTAGGGGGCTTGAGAATGACTAACCTTTCCCAAAAAGCAACCAGCAGACTCTGAATTTAAAATGTGTTCTTTACTCTTCTTAGGTGGCCTTTCTGGTCTTAAAATTTTTATGCTCCTTCACATACCTGTCGCTAAAGCTGCTCTCCCAAACGTGCAAGTTTATACAAGTTTAATAGAAGCAACATTGTCACTCCAGGAACAAATTACCTCACCTCTACTGAGATTTTCTGGCCAAATATTTAAGCACAGTAGATTGATGCATTCCATTTTTCCAGCAGTAATAGGAACTGAAATAATCTAAATTTCATTGAGGAGGCCAGAAAGGAACTCTTTGCTGAGAGTTCCCCAAAAGGAGGAGGGATGAATTCTCTAATATCCTGAATGACAACCCACTCCTAAAGCCCTTTATGTTAGCACTAGATTTTTCTCTTGCATTTGAACAATAGGTCTTCTTTCTGGTAAATATACAACTATGCTACCCATTAAGGGAGTCCAGCATTGCCTTGTCCATTTTCTAGAAATAGAATCACTCTTTTCTTTGGAAGCCACCATCCCACGTATTTGGGGTGGGGCACCCATTTGAACCAAGCTGACCCACAATCTCCCGGGGTCTTTTCCGTCAGAGAACCATCTGAGATGACGCCGGCATTTGGAGATGCTTAGCTGACAGAACGAGGGTCTTGGTTTGTCCAGGATCATCTCTGCCACATGCCGGAAGAGTCTGTCACAAATCTGGAGCTCTCAGCATTTAAGGGCCTAGGTGCTGCTCCAGTTGCATGAGCCAAATAATCTTTATGCTAGATTGAAGTGAGTTTCTGTCACTCACTTCCTGAAAAGCCTCAGAACATTATCCGCTGCCTCGTAAGCATTTTTGTATCAACTTTTTAAATTCGAAAGCATTTTAGACATTACGTACTTTTTATTAGCAACCACATAAATGCAGGGGTTGTAGAATGTAGAAGATTTTGCAAACAGCGGAGCTATGATGGCCACTGAGGGAGGAATCTTCTTTGGGTCACCAAAAGAAGCCCATAAGCATACGATGGAGTAAGGGGACCACGCCACCAGGAACATGCATATCATTATCACGGACATCTGCAAAAGAAATAATATTTGCCAAGCCCAATAGCTACAAGAGTTAGATAGCTAATTTATCTAAACTGTCATGAAAATCTATCTAGATTGGAATTTGAATAAGTTTATGTTGTTGATGACATAAATAGCTGGGTTTTTGCTTTCAACATTCTTTGTTTAGGGGCCTGAAGTCATCTCTGATAACATGAGCTTGTGAAATTGATACGTCAGTAATAACCAACATTGCTTTTAAGATCGTTATACACGTAAAGAACGACCTCTTTCTTTTGGTGTGCTACGGAAGAGTACAAAAGCTGGCTTTGATGAAAGACAGATAAAAATCCACCCACCGGCCAGG